CACCCCCCCGCGGGCCGCCGGAGTTTTTAAAGTGGGCTGGCGGCCCCGCGAGCCCGACATTCGCGAGCGGTCCGCCGCACAGCTCAGGCGCCCGTCGCCTCCCGCCCCAGCTTTCCTGAGGCGGCCGTACAATCCTCGGCAGTGTCCTGAGACTGTATGGTCATCTCAGCCTCCGCGTCCTCCCGGCCCCGGACTCTGCCAGCTCCCGTCGTTTGAGCCACTTCTTTTTTGAAAACCCGGAAGAGTGACTCCTGACTCCTTTTCGAAGGAAAAAGGAACCTCGGCTCCCTTCTCGCTGCCCTTCTTTTGCGTGTGACAGCCTCCTCCCACTCCCTTCCCCGACCCCGCCTCCGCGTGCAGGTTCCTCCCCGTCACCTTTCTCCACCCCCTCCCCCGCACCTAGCCAGCCGCCCGCAAACTTCCACCTACCTGGCTGTGCGGGCGCTCGGGACCTGCGAGCACTCGGGACCTTTAACACGGGCGTGGGCCTCCGTGAGTGGGCTAGGGCCACAGCGAAGGTAGCGGCGGCAGCCCCCACCGGCCCTGGAGCTCAGGTGCTCGGCGTCTCAAAGGGCCCCCGCGACAATGACAGCTGACAAAGAGAAAAAAAGGTAAACGGGCGTCCGGAGCTGGTCCAGGGCTGGGGGTGGGAGTGGCGGGGCTTCTCGGGACCGGCGCGACCGCGAACCGCTGGGAGAGGAGCGTGGAGCGGTCTTTGAGGCCGGCGGATAGATTTGGAAAGTTTGGCAGGGGAGGGCAGGTGCCCCGTCTGGGGACGCGCGGCTGCGGTTTCGCGGTTGAGAGTTCTGTGGCCCGAAGGAGTCGGGAATCAGCGCGGGCAGCGAAGCCAAGAGGCCGAGGGAGATGGCCCTAGAGGTCGGAAGTGCCCCCGGGGTACCTTCCAAAATCCATCCCCCCAAACCCACCCCCGCGCCAAACCCCCGCGGCCAGCATGTTGAAATGTTTCTTGGTTGACTCAGGTTAACTTTCGACTTTCTCACGGCTCGCATGAGGGGCAGCACCCACTCCTCTCTTTTCCTCGGGACCCTTGGGGTTCTTCCAAACGAGCTCTGCCCGTGCTGCTCCCCAGACTGGCAAGGGGCCGGAGGCGGAGCGCGGCGCTGGGAAGGGCCCCGGCAGAGCGGCCAGGACGCAGCAAAGGGCCCCACTCCAGGGTTCCAGACCCCACGGAAGATGGGAGAAGCCCCTTTCCTGATCCCGCACCTTGCCTCGGCGGGAGAGTGGGTAGTGGGCCGGGCTGCCTCGCGGAGGCAGGTGTCTTGGTGTGTGGGGAGGGGATGGCGACACCGGGCGCTCCCGGCAGGTCCCGGTGTCTCTCTCCCAAGAGGACAGAGAAGGGCAGCCACGATCTGCCCGCCTGCCCTCGCCAGCCTCTCAGCACTAGCGGAGAGGCAACCTCACTGCCCTCTCCCGGCGAGGGTGAGAGCGCACGGCGTGGCGCGCAGACGTGGGAACCGCCTTGCCTCCCGCAGTCGTGCGTGGCTAGCCGCCTGACACCCCTCTCCTCCCAACCTGCATTCGTGCTGCCCCGCGGGCTGGAGCTTTTAGCCCCGTATTCGACGGCGGCTGGCGGGGCTGGTGTGCGGAGAACTGTAATCGTACGCGCGGCCGGCTGAAGGGCCTGAGCCGCGGGAGATCAGCTGCTGGGAGGCTGTGCGGTGGTTCGGGGATGGGGACCCAGCCGCGATGGGCGGGGGTGACCGGCCTCGAGCCGGGGAGCCCAAAGAGCTCAGTGCTTGGGTCGATTTACTCTTGTTCCGACTTCCACTGTGGGACCGGAGCCAGAAACCATGTATCCTCTGGTCGAAAGCGGCGCTTCCCACCTCGGGGCACCGATAAGGATTTGATAAAACAGGAGCGAATCGCGCCCGTTCTGGCCGAGCGCCCGGGCCCTTCGCTCCCGGATCGCTGGGGGGAGGGGATTGAGCCCGGCTCCCGGGTTGCGGCCGCAGCTCCCCTCCCGCGTCACGGTGGCGCCCCCAGGCTTGAGACGGCTGAGGGAGCCTTGCCCTGGCCTTTCTGGGCCCTGAGACTGCAGCCGTCGCTCGCCCCCGGGGGCCTCGGAGCAGCCCAGGAGTCCTGTGTCTTTGAAGGGCAGCGAAGCAGTGAAGGGACTTGAAGATTCCAACGCATTTTGTTAAACCAGTACAGCCTGCCAATAATAATGACTGAACGATCAGAAGACAAAATTATAGTGAGCTCCTCTGCGCGCGCTGGGCTCTGGAGCCGGCGAGGGAACTTATTGTACATTTTACAAGTGTGATGCCTATCGGTGAATGTTGCAATCGCGGAGGTGGGGCCTGATGGTAATCTTGACAGATGTGTGAAGTGTCAGCTTCTCCCGCGCGGCTTTGCGCGGGTCCTGTGCTATTATGTATGTTAATCGTCGCAAGAAACTTGGGAGTAGGGGCAGAACTCTTTCGACATACCTGGCTGTAGTGCCTCTTTCGTTAGAGATAGAGGGAGCCAGAATCGGAGCAGGAGCAGGAAAAAGTTGGGTAATCGGAATTATTCGCTAGAGCGGCAGGTTTAAGGAACCACTGTGGGGATTGCCCGTGAGATGCCTAGGAGGCTAGAGGCGGTGGCCCCGCGTGTCTGCTTTCTGCGCCTTGCGTTTGGTTTTATGTCGCAGACTGGCAGGGCAAACAGTGTGTCCCTCCCTCACCGGAGTCCTAAGAGAGGTTGTCCAATTCTTGTTGGGCTAATTGTTTTGAGACATATTTACTTTTCTAGTCTGGCTCTGTTTGCTGGGGGCATGCTCCTTGCAGGACCAAGGTGTAATTCAAATATGTGAACCAATGCATTGAAAGTTGGTGTGTCATGTAAGTGGCGGTCCTTAGCTTTGCCAGAGTGCCTCACAAGTTCGGTGTGACACCTGCTATGGGGGCTTTCAGATTAGGATTCTGTGTATAGGTTCTTAAGGTGTGATTCTTCTGGTTCCGCAGAGCCATTTCTTCCCCCAAATTCCAGATTCATGGAACATTAGCAATGTTCCTTCTAACAACAGTCTTTCAAGAAGTGGACAGGATTATTTTGTTCCAGAATGTTCACGCATCGATGGAGATGTTAATGTTTAATAAAAAAGAGTTTGCTTTCTAAACGTTGGCTGGCCGACTGGGTTTCAGAGTGTGCTCTTTTAGCCGTGGTGGGCATTCCTAGTGACATCAGAGATGGCCAGAAACAAGCTTTCTAAGGGTGCTGCACTCACTCACTTTCTTCACTCATCTGTCAGGAGTGAAGTGAAGGTCTCATTAATCAGGGTTCCTGGTTCTGTGAAGAGCTAGAAAGTGTCTGGGCTACTCACTTCCTGATAAAACAATTTCTGAGCCCCTTCCCTGGAAGAGAAAATAGTCTGGAAGTTCTTAGGTACATGGGGATTGGAGAGTGGTTTGGGTAAATATAAGCTGGATCTTTGGATAAACAGGGATCAAAGTCCATTCCCAAAGCCAGACCCAGCTCAGAGCTGCTTTCCAGAAAGCTTCGATTGCTTAGTGTGGGGCCTTCTGTGGGGCCTTCGGTGGGAGGAAGATCAGGGGTAGCAGATTAGAAGTTTTCTATCTCTGTCTCCCCCTGCCAACTGGATGTAGTGGTTCCTCTGCTAAAATAAAATCAAAGCCCACCGTTTTTTCTATTCGGAAGGCAAAAATATTGCTGGACAGTTTTCCTCAATTTAAATATATTTACTATAAATATTCCTTCAACATTTGATGTCTCTTTCCAATTGCATTACCAGAATGCAGGTGTAATAAGGAATTGATGTAACACATTATAGGTTCAGGTGAATAAAATTTAATTCACACAGCTTTCATGAAGTTCAAAAGAATGCTGTGACTACAGGTTTTTTTCAGCATTGCTGATGGGAAGCTTACAATTATTTTATGCAAGGACTATTCTCCAGTGGAACAAATTGCTTTATGAGGCGGAGAACTACCTGTCAGCAGAGACATTCGAGCAGCTACTATTGATAGACTGATTCCTGTATTGAATAAGTTGGCATTTTCACTAGGAGTGAAAACCGTGAGAACAAAACTGTTTAATTTACTTTGAATGTAAGTCAGTCTGTGTCTCTCTCTTTCTGTGTGTGTGTGTGTGTGTGTGTGTGTGTGTGTGTGTGTAGGGTGATCCTCAACTTTCTAGGAATCTATTCTGTAAAATGTTTACAAATAGAAGGAACCAATTAGATAATTCTTAGTGCTCCAGGATTTCAGCCCAATACATTTGAAAATATTTGCTGTCATTAATTATCTCAAGATTTAGGCTTTTCTGCTTCTCAGGAAATCTCTCCAGTGGTATTGGCTTTTTTTTTTTGTATTTTCCTCAGTTCTGTCCCATACCAACATGTGTTTTCATTTTAGCCTAATGAATCTTCCCTATTGTATTTGGTACTGACCATCATTGATAGTTTGTAGCAGGTAGGGCTTTTACCAATATTGTAAAGTTAGCAGTGTTTGCTCTCAGGGTCCCCAGTACCCTTTACCCCCAACCTCCCCAGTACCAATGTCTAGTTGCATGATGAAAACCAGCTCTGCTATTCACGATGTAAACCAATAAAGACAACAAATGTGTATTGAACACCTACTCCCTCTTTGGATAAAATACCGTATGCTAACACATATATAGGGAATTTAAGAAAAAAAAATGTTATGAAGAACCTAGGGGTAAAACAGGAATAAAGACAGAGACCTACTGGAGAACAGACTTGAGGATATGGGGAGGGGGAAGGGTGAGGTGTGTTAGGGCGAGAGAGAGACATGGACATATATATACTAACAAACGTAAGGTAGATAGCCAGTGGGAGGCAGCCGCGTGGCACAGGGATACCGGCTCGGTGCTTTGTGGCTGCCTGGAGGTGTGGGATAGGGAGGGTGGGAGGGAGGGAGACGAAGAGGGAGGAGATGTGGGAACATGTGTGTGTGTGTAGCTGACTCGCTCTGTTGTGGAGCAGAGGCTAGCACACCATTGTAAGGCAATTGTACCCCAGTAAAGATGTTAAAAAAAAAAAAAAAATGCTAAAGAGATATTAAGAAATAAGGGAATGTGGTCCTGGTCTTCAAGTTGCTTAGTTTATTTGTGGGGAGGGGAAGGACACACAAGCTTAACTAAAAATACAGTAGGTGGCAGCTTACCTGTCACTTTTCTGTTGAGATCAAATCTTTTGAAGCTAAAGATAAGAAGTTCTTTTTTTTTTTTTTTTTTTGCGGTACGCGGGCCTCTCACTGTTGTGGTTTCTCCCGTTGTGGAGCACAGGCTCCGGACGCGCAGGCTCAGCGGCCATGGCTCACGGGCCCAGCCCCTCCGCGACACGTGGGAGCTTCCCGGACCAGGGCATGAACCCGCGTCCCCCGCATCGGCAGGCGGACTCTCAACCACTGCGCCACCAGGGAAGCCCAAGAAGTTCCTAATAGCATTTCAGTCAGTAACTACACATTTAAGCACAGACAGTTATTGAAAAGTATTGTGTGTTGGGGAGTGGGAGAATGGGTTCCTGGTTTTCCCTGGAATCACACAGGGTAGGCCCTGATCACCAGCATGCAGACTGGCTCTGAGGGACGTCAAACAGGGGGAGTCAGTGTTGAGGGTAATGAGAGTA